ATATATATATATATATAACCTGTATTTATAAAGATCCTGCACTATATGAACAACCCATTGTCATAAGCCCACTTGCTGAAGCAACCTATTCTTAGAAATTCAAATATTTCTTATGTAGTCACTGGGACGAGAACTAAATCTTTAAAGACAAGCCCGGGATTCTGCGATCTTCCACATTAGATAATTGGCTCTGATGCATCTCAAATTCCTCCCCTATCGGAACATATTATAGTTGATGTTCTAATCAAAACCGATTGCTCAAATGATGATGTCCCATCTTCTCTTTCCTGACCTAAACTGACGGGTCTCTTCCTTTCAATTTGCTTTTTTTCTTTCCATGTCCTTCATGTGTCTAAGGACTCCAGAGGGACCTGCCGCCAGGACGCTCAGAGAAAGGTCAAGTCGCTCCTCTAAATAGGCATCCTGGAAAATAGCCTAAGGGTAATCGAGCTTGTCGAAAAATCTTTAAACGGATTGGCTCGTTGGTGAACATTTGCAGGTTGTAAGAGAGCTGCTTGCAAAAAAAAAACAACAACAAAAAAACAAAAAAAAGAAAACTCCATCTTAAACTCAATTACCTGTTTCCAAGTCTTTTATTAAGCAAGATGTGTTGCCAAGATAAACATCCCCAGTTAGGTTTGATGGATGAATGGTGAATACAAACAACTGAAACATTAAAAGCAAACTCAACTTACTCGACTGCAATGATTAAAGCTCGACTCGAAACAATCGCATAAAAATGCAGCAACTGCACTTAAAATGAAAAAAATGTGCCTCTGATGTTTTATTGTGCTCGGTCTTAAATCTATCACACGTTGCTTAGTTTTAACAATATTAAACTGAACATGAACAGCGTGATGATCACGGTGGGTTACTGTGTTTGAGACGAAGCAAAGAGCAACTGCAGGGCGTGCCATCAGGAAGATCTGATCATCTGTGACATACACGTCAGACCTGCTTGATCACGGTAAATACCAGCAAACAGCAGCAAAAAAGACCATTCAGTCTCGTCGCATTTAGGCTTTTAAACTAGACTGAGCGCTTAAAAAGTAAGTGGTACAAACAGATTAAAATTTCTGGTCATAGAAAGTCTGTTGCAAGTCCAGAATGACAATTTTCATCATCTGTATCCAAACGGCAAAGATAACATGGATTCAAAAACTGTGTTGACAGTTCTTCGGGTTATTTTCATCTCCTTCTTCTCTGACTTGAGTAAACAGAAAAAGTAGCCATGAATGCAGGTATGCATTCCATAATCCATAAAGTTGGTTATAGTACTCCTGGTGATAATGTATATGGTGTTTATTGTGTCGCCAAATGGCACTAAAGACTCAGAAGAAAACAGAAGAACAAAGCTTGTGTATAAGCAAGAGATCTCACTGTGACGTGTTTGCTCTTTACTCAGTGAAGCTACTTGCTTTCTAGATAAAGTATCCAGAAATTTTACTCAAGTAAAGTGAAAGGTACGACACAGTAAAAGTACTCCTAGAGGTACATTGTGTTACTTTTCTCCACGTCTCACCCACTCAAGCGCAAACAGGATAGACTGTCTCTAAACATGTTAGAAAAATGAAGTAAATGGTAGCCAGCAAAACAACAACAACAAAAAAACATTCAGGTATTATTTTCCACACCACGTTAAGGAAAACCGAGCTGCAATTACTTCTTAACACCATTCTCGAGGCAGACAGCAGGAGCATAAACACTTTTGCTGCTTGTATTTACAGTTGAACGCTTTGGTGAGTGCAGAGTCTGATGCAACGACCTTGTTAAGGTTCTGAGAGAATAAAAGCAAGTCAGTGAAAGGGAGAGGCTGATGATAAACTTCCTTTCCAGTCTTTGCAGCAGAACAGAGGAAAATCCCTGCTGGAATTTCAATGTGCTTATCTGCTCTGACTCGGTTTTTACACAGCGTACAGTTTCACTTTGCAGCCGACTGACGCTATACAGTAATCTGAGCAATGTAAAAACACATGGGGGGCATGCTTTTCAGCCTGCTGCCTCTGTGCTGTTGCCGTTTCAAAGCTGAAGCCCAGCTGTGGAGCCCCCCAAAACATGTACTCCGCAGAGTCTTTTCACGTACTATCTTCGTCCCCCCAGACGCCCCTATGGAGCTGCTCAGGTGGCCAAGAGTGGAGAGACGCGATCGTACTGGGCAGCGTCCAGCTGTGCACACATCGCTCGGTGTGAATGCCAAGCAGAGCATGCATTTTCAATGTAACTGTGTCCATAGGGGATTGAATAAAAAATAACAAAAAAGGTATTAAAACTCTAAGGTATGACACGAGGTAATGGTTGCCACAAATCTTGGACTTACGGGTAAGTGAAGCACATAAACAATTGTGCTTAAAACTAACCGTAGTTGTAACTGATGGAAGTATGAATTCTGCTCTTCAGCACAAAATCCTGCAGTACAATGTCTTCTTGACCTTCTGGTTAGGAGTATTTCAGTCATGAAGCAGGATGAAGCTCCAGATCAGACCAACAAGTCCAACATGGAGCAACCCCAAGAGGTTTTTCCATGTCCTAGTCAAAGTTCAAGCTTAAATTCCATTAAGATGCTGTGTTGTGACTTTAACGGGGCAGTCAGGCTCAGAAAACCATCAGTGTGACTCAAAACAAGAGTGTGCTAAAAAACAATTTAGCAATTTAAAGAAAAAAAAAAAAACTTCTTTAAATTGTGAAACTCTGACTTCAAAATACTCGCTACGCTTCAAACACTTAAGGGAGACCATAAAAGCAAAATCAAGATTTCAGGCTTGTGGTGCTGTAAAGAAAAACTGAGCATGTGTAAATGATCAACAAAGTTAAAATGTCTGCAAAATAAATGTGTCACAGTGAACTAGCATTTTCCATTTTACCGTATTTAACATCCATGTTGGCAGGTCAGTCCTGTCATTACATAAAACCTATTAGAGAAATTCAACAACATGAGGATGTAGTCAAGAATTTGACAAACTGAATATACCTCAATATTTCAAATCAGATCAGGACTTCAGAATTAAAATATGTTCTCCAGAAGATTAGTCATTGCAACTTCATGCACAAAAACGTAGCCATAATACTAAGAAAATCAAAATGTCCATCACATGTGATGTTTAGTTATCCCAGTTACTGACACAACTAAGTAAGCAGCGTTAAAATAAATTAATCTTTTTACTAAAGATGCATGAGCTGTAAAGATGTGGATAATGTGTTATTTTAATTTTAATATGTGCATTTAATGGAGAATGATACTGTGATAAAAAAAAAAATATTGTTTTTACAAAATAACTGGCACCACAGTTTCTATAAGGTACATATAATAAATGCTGAAACTTAAATTTCCTTTAAAGAGTAGATAAGTTTGAACAAAATGATAAAAATATTTTATCTTTTAATGGAGTGATGAGACAAAATGACCAGAAGTTTTGTTTTTTTTGTAAATTCTTTAAAAAGAAAATTACCTACAATAAAATAAAGTCCCATTTTAAATATGCATAAAAGAGCCATTTAAAGAAATATAAATATCATCAATGTCCCATTTTCATGCCACTGATTTACTTGCAGCTTCCAGTCTCAGAAACAAAGTAGTAAGATTATATTTTTAAGCACTGTTGGCTTGATTTTTTATCACACTTCCTATTAAATCACCTTAAGAACGTCGTTATCAAACAGATCTGTGATGTCACACTCAAAACTATTCACCTCACAGTGAAAAATCATTTCAGCCTCGTTTTAAATCCCATTCCTCGTCTTTCACTCTCTCCCTTTCCATTCCACAGCCGGTTTTCTTTCTCCAGACGACATGATTGGAAACGCATGCAGACATCAATACCCAAGCCGTCTGCTTGACAAGCTCCACGATTTCAGGGACTTTCTGAAAGTAATGAGACTTTGGGACACGTGTGTGAAAAACGGATCGCGTCGACAGGGCGAAACAGAAAGCAGGGAGGGAGGCTTCGTGTCATGCGTTAGCTCCCCTGCAGAAGTCTGTAAGTTGGGAAAGCAATTCGTATCTGCTTAATGAAGCATATAAAAGGAGTTTCCATGAAACGCCTTTCCTTTTGAAACGGCTCCATGACAACACTCGGCTCGGGTCACAAAAGCTTTTTTCCTGCTTCACGTTTTCCTGTTTGCTTATCTGCTTTCAGAATAAAGATGCTGCAGCATTTGATGCATTATTCTAATTAGACGAAGCTAAAACATGTTTATTGAGAAGTTCTGCTTTTGAAAAGTTTGCAAAGTTGTTTTTTTTTTTTTAAAAAAAGGTTGAAAATTAGGCAGTTCTCAAGAGTTTGGTTCTACAGGATAACTTCTCACCTCAAGCCACATTATAAGCTCAAAGAAAGCAGGATTTTTGACACATTTTCTGATTTAATATTAAAATAAAAGCTTCCTATGAATCTGGCATATTTTTCGGGGAATTAAAAAAAAAACAAACAAACCCTACAACTTAAGGAAACACACAATAAGCGTTTACATTCGTCTCTATCTTTCTCCTTCAGTCCCTTGTTCTTGCCCTCATCCTCTGAGTCTTACCCTCTGAGAAGCTGATGAGCCCCAAGATGTGCAGGAGCTTGATGGAGGCGAACACCAGCACCACGATGCCCACCGTCTGCAGCCCCTCTGTCTCCCAGATGGCGCTCAGCATCGCTCCACCCTCCGCCCACTCCGGGCCACCATACCCCGACCCAAACCCAGAGCCCGAGCCAGTCTCTTCCCCTTCCGAGGCGTCGCCAGGACCAGGACCAGCACTCCCACCCGGTCCTGCACTCCAGTTCCCCTGCACCCACTCCAGCGCTGCCCCAGCCTGCGAGCACCGGCCGGGCGAGTCCCAGCACCCTCCTTCTACCCCTCCGCTCCCTAAATCCAGTCTGAGGGTCAGGTTGAGCCGAGCCCACTCCCTTCCGGTTAAGAGCCAGGCGAGAAGAATCGTAAACTCATGAAGAAGTCGGTTAAAACTTAGAATAGATGACCTTAAAAGTCCCCGTCTTCCCCCCTCAAATGAGAGAAGTGGCAGTTGTGTAAAAGGAGGACAGAGGAAAATCTGGCTCCTCTCTGACAGTTTATGGCTTTCTGCTGCTCCTCCACGCGAACACCCTGCCTCTCTGCGATGTAAAGGGGAGGGAAGAAGAGAGGGAGTGGATTTGAGCGAGGGAGCGGTGAAGGGAGGGCAGCGGCAAGAGGCGCTCTGCAAGAACTTCTCCATGGAAGTGCTTAAATTAACTTCAACTGCAGCTCCTGAAATATGAAAGGGAGCCCAGAAAGTGTCACAAGATTATAATACCGCCGTTGACTACTGTGCTGTTTAGCAATATTAATAAATCAAGTAAATGGTGAGCTTCTGTGGCTGCAGAAAGGACTGTGGAGGCAGAAAACGGGGAACAAAAAGATGAAAGTGAGCACGGTAATTGCATCCGAACAAACGGACCGTTCTGAAAAGCGGGCATGTTAATCAATCATGCGCAGCTCACTTCCAACAGTTGAGAACACAACGTTTTTGTCAGCTCGTTTAAAAAGAAAGCTCAAAGTAAGCGCAAACAAACACATTCAAAAATGAAGTATTTTTTAAAAAAGTGCATATTTGGGGAAAAAAAAAAAAATGTCCGAGGCGAGTCAGAACGTGTCTGCTTAAACGGATTTCATTAAAACAGTTGATTTAACTTGAAGTCCACCTGCATGAAGCAGACAGAAAAAGAAAACCAGACACAGAAAGACAGAAAGCGACTGATTTATGTGATTAGTATTTGGCAGCAAAGGAGAGAAAATACTACCATCTGCTGGCCTTCTCCAGAGAGTCTGTTTTCTCCTAATCCACAGTGATTTCTCTACAAGTGCATATTAATAAATGAGAATATTCCATAAAAGGTAATGTAATTTAAGGATTCTGTTAAAAAGGCAAAAAAAAAACAAAAAAAAGTCCAACATGGCATCACATACACACACAAAGTGACACATTTCAACCCTGTCTTCCTGTTACTTCTGATGTTGATGACTTAATTCTGCACAAAACCCAAAATGCAGGTTGTCAGCAATTTGAATATTAGACGAGGGCAATAATAAGGAATTTTAAAACAGAAATGCTATGATCTAACATCAATCAATCAGAAGGAAGACGTCTGACTCAGCAGACAGTCGATGACGGCGTCCATCGACTGTCTGGTCAATGGCCGGTCTATTACTCCTCGTTTACTTCACAAGGAGGAATAGACAAAAGAAAGGCCGTAGCTAAAGAAGCTCACAGTGTACAAGCATATTAGAGGGAAGTTTAGTGGAAGGAAAAACAATCTTGGTAGGAGAAGTTGAAGAAGCAACAGGGAGAACTTCAGAGTGGATATGTCTGTGAAGTCAACCCCACTCACAAGGAACGGACTGCAGAGCTGTGAGAGCCACAGTGTGAGAGCTCCAACTGTGTTAAACCTCTCCAGAACCAGAGACAGTATAAGTATCTTACATAAGCAAACCAAAAACAAAAAAATTACATGTACAAAAAAAAAAATCAAAGTTAACAGCAACTTGAAATTTTTAACTTTTTATTTATATTTCAATGTACTGCAATGCACCGTTTCTAAAAGTATCTAAAACATACTTTTGAACTTTTTTTTAAAAAAATGTTTTGTGAGTAAAATAAGTAGCACTTGATGGCTGGAACAACAATATGTCTGCACTCTATTTGATTATTTTGACTGCTCTGCTTTCCTAGCCTTGCTTGAGTCACACATTACTGTTGTAAAATGCAAAAAGAAGGAAAGAAAGAACAAGACTCCCAGCTTAACTGCAATCATCACTGCAGAATATTATGTTGCCTCCCTGAAAGGAATCGTAACTCACCGCTTATTCAATTGCTCTGTGATAAATGACGCACGGATGGAAAAGCTAACAAACACGTCTCTTCTTTACATTCAGTGGCCCAGACCTGGTCTACGCTCCAAACCACATCACACAAAGGAACGCAAGACAGGTGGGATTCTGCTTTTCTTTGATCAAATATTTTTCACTTTAGAATAAAAGAAAACGTAAAGAAATGCACAGGATAGTGCAGAAAACACTTGAACTGTAACATTTTCTGGGTGCAGCCTATCTAACACTGGGGCTTAAAACTACTTTAAAAGACTTTCTCCCTGCTAGTTGTTGCAGGTAGAAGTAGTCTGACTCCTATGCTGGATGGAAAAGCAGTAAGAAAATTTAGATTTAAGTATTTTTCCGCTGTGCAAATACATGTGATTATCCAGTCCAACACTGTACGATTTTCAAGTGTTTGAAATGCTTTGTTAGTTTTACAAAAGGCAGCTGTCCTTTGTTTTGGGTCAGCAGAGGTCTTCACCTCAGAACTTTTGCCATCAACTTACAACAAATAGTTCATTTAGAAAGGGGGAGGGGAGGGGTCTGCAATCACATCCAGCCAAGTTGTTTTGAAAAGCTTATTAAAATGTCACACAAAAAGGTTGCATTTTATGTTAAATAATCAGTTATTATGACAATTAAGTATGACAATTTAAAACTCATCACCAGAATGATTAGACTGATGAAACCTTGAACTTTCCCTGCAATCAAACCACACTCAAGTCCAACATGTTTCCATTTGTTGGGCAAGTCCTTTATCTTAGACACACAGCAGCAGCAGCCTCACTCACAAAAAACCAACATAATTTACTATTCTGCTTTTCATGGCAGGTAGAAACCAATTTGAAGCGATTTCCACATTCTTCTGAACAAATTGCTCCTCTGTGGTGAACAGAGGGTACATTAAATGCAATAAATACTGGGAACTACTGTTTATCACCGTTTTCTTGCAAACATTGTTTCTTCTGCACGGTTTTGAAAACTGCGGCAAGCAAGGAAAACAGCAGAAAATTGAGATAAAATCTAAATTGAGCAGGATTAGCTTTATACCTACCTTTACTTGCGGCTGTAATAAACTGTAGCGTTTAACTCCCAGTATTATTTTGTTCTATACAGCCACTAAATGTAGAAACTAAGTACCACCAAACAGCTCAATTTCCATAATTCAACAGGTTTTATCTGCCCTGTAGCTTAGAGCCACACTCAGTGAAAAAAAAAAAATTATTCCAGCAAAAATAAAGTGGCTCTCATTAAAACCCATCATCAATCAAAGCGACGGCGGTGTGCCGGACGAGCAGAGATGAGGTCGCCTCGTTGTTTACACATCAGCTTAAGCTCAAAGTTTGATATAATTAGGTGGCACCTGTAGGGGGTTTGCTCAGGCATGCAAAGCAGCAGTAAGCATTCAGTCTGCTTTCTCCCCCTCCCCCCCCCCAACGCAAAATAAATGAGGTTGTCATACTTACAGAGGTGGCGCCTATGAGAGGGTTGGCAATTATGTGTTGTGAACCAGAGCAACCCTCGGTGAAGCGGCATGGGCAATCAGGCATGGAGTGCCGTGGGGTGACTGAAACCACTGAGTTATTTGTGGGGCTCACGCCGACAATTGTCTCTCTGGACATAAAAATGTAATGTTTGTCTCTTTACCCTTTTTATGCTAAAACAGTAGATGGGACGAAAACCTGAACATGGATGACTCGACTGATTTCAGCTCATTCTATTCGCTGTGGTTCACTTTCAGCTTCTAGGAACCACTCTCTCGGGACCCTGAGCTGGTCCTCACACACGGACAAAGCTTGGAAGAAGACTGTTCATCCTGTGGCAAATCAAGAAGCACAACATTTCACAGATGCTGCTGGTCGTCTTCTACACTGCCATTATTCAGTTTGTCCTGTGTTTGTCCAAACAAGGACAGGTCCACTCCAAACTGCGACAAATAATAAGGTGTCCAAAGAGGGTGATTAGGGCACACCGTCCCTCCATCCGGGACCGATACAGATCTGGGGTCAGGAAAAGAGAAGCTGAAACCTCTGTAGATCCCACACAATCTGGACACTAATTATTTAGACTTTTGCCAACAAGTCAGCGCTACAGAGAGCTGTTCGCAGAAACTAGCAGCCAAAGATTGTGTTTCTTCCCCAAAACTGTCTCTTGGATAAATACTTCACAGCCTTAGTCATCAGCTGCTCTGCTGTGAAACAAAAATAATCAATCCTAACCTGCATTGATCTGTTTTTTTTTTAATCCTGCATCTTATTTCCTCTTAAACTTATATATTTAGACATAATGTCTAAAAGTTGCAAATGTGTGAAACTGTAGTCAAATGTTTTGTTTTTGGCCAATCACCAAACAACAATAACTTTGGTTCTTATTCCGATTTATTAAATGTCATCCAAGATTTTGTTACAAAGCTAAAAGAGTTGACTTTGCTTTAAGCCGTCACTTGCTCCTTATACATTACCCAATAAGTTTTGTGCGTTATGTTATTCAGCTGAGCTGCCTCTTGCATAGTTCATTGTGCCCTTCTTTTAAACCTCAAACTGTAACAGATGTCTCATAATTCAAGCTCGGGTGGGTAGCAAACAAATGGGCTCTGCTGTTTTCATTATCATTTGATTGCTACAGGAGGATCCTTCCCCCCCCCCACAGCATCTACAACTTCTTAAAACAAATTCGTAATGTGAGTTATAGCAACATTTAAATTCCTTCTGGGATTAATAAAGTATTTCTAAAATAAATTTAATTGAATTCATATAATTCTCTATCAAAATGAGTCCTGACCAGGATTGTCAATTTATTAGGTTTTATATATATATATATATAAAGTACAGTAGCAAAGTTCTGAAAATGTTCATTTAAAGAGAGTTTAGAAAGTGATTGCAGAAAAACAGAGCTGAAACTGAAGCACTCCAGATTTTGTCTCTTGGACAGAAAAATTGAGGCATTTTTATTGTGATGAGATTAACACTAAGTAGTGTGTAACTGTGAAGTAAACTACATAGTACCACCCCTCTAAACCTATTGTTGTCACTGTGTGTGCGCTTAAGCAGCAGTAGCTCTCCGTTTAGTTACATAATTTTGTATAACGTAAACACTAAGACAACATAAGACAAGGGTCATTTTATTCAAGATTATCACACAGGCCAGAGCGTACTTTAGATCAGTCAATATGGTCAATATTTTTGACCAGTCAGCAGCTCAAGCTCATATTTCTTTGTTCACTCAGGAATTTTAACCTCATGTTTGTGAATATTTTCTTTGTGCTGTTGTTGGATAGTTTGTGCTAAGCATACTCTCCTTTAATCTCAAGCAATAAGTCAGCAGGAAAACTAACCACTGAAAGAAAATGGTAAAAAAAAAAAAAAAAAAACCAACAACTTTGAATA